CGCCAGCCTGTCAAGGCGCGAGCCGCCTGTGGGCACGGGGTCCTGCCAGCAAGGGTCGCGGGTAGGTAGTGCTCCAGAGCGGGCATGAGTACACGGCCCGTGGCACTGTCGAAGCCGTCCAGAAAGCGGTTCACGAAGTAGGTAACTAGGATGACACCGACCTCCTCCGTCGTGGCGCACGTCTGGGACTTCGAGCGGCACCACTCCTCGAACTTCTTGGCAGCGTCCCAGTAGTTGGCCATGGTCGTGTCCGGCGCGGCGGCCGACTCCAGCGCCGACAGGGCCCCTCGGGCGAGCATCGCGGGCCCAGGGTGGGTCCTGGTCCTCTGCTCCGCCAGCGGCGTGGTCCGATGCCCTCGAAGTTCGGGATGCAGAGGCCTGGTGCTCCTCGAAGGTCGGCCCGACGAAGAAGCCTGTCCTGGACGGCGAGTCCGCGGCATTGCTTTCACTGGGGATCCACCGAATGGCGTGGCGGATGCCTGTGGCCGCCGACAGGGCGCATAGTCGGCGTAGAGGGTCGCGGAGGCCTCGGGCGCCAGAACGGCCCTTGCCAGCGGCAAGAGCTAGAGCCAAATTGTCAACGGTGAACAAAATGCGATGATGACGAAGCCGTCCAGACCGAGCCGAGTGTCGCATCGCAAACCCGAGAGCCTCCGCCTCGTATCGCATAATGTCCAAGCCGAACCTTGAATGACGCGAACTGTGTATCGTGGCCCAGCCGTCGGAAGCCGTGATCGAGTCGGGAACCTCATCGAAGCCGCCGAAGGAAGCAGCGTCAGCTGGTTGATGTAACGATGATGCCGTAGACGGAGGGCCCCCAGGGATCTTAGGAGGCTTCGTACTGAGGCGGCATTCCTCGAGACAATTTTTGTCCACGGTAGCTTCTAACACAGAGCGAGGCTCGATCCCGAGCGCGTGGGCACGGGCGTGCACGGCGTCGGAGAACCGATAGCGCCATCTCTCAGACAAGCGCCCCGCGGCCGCGGCGACCTCCTGGTCGACGGTCTTGCGGCAGACCCCGATGCCGTAGGGGGAGGCGTCGCTGCAGAAGGTAGTCGCCGACCACTGTGCTCTAACGTCGGCCCACCATAGCGGTATGAGGGCGGCCGCCGCGCGCAGCTCGGCGACGACCGACGGCCACAGCGGCGCGGCCACTTGGGATTCCAACGCCATGAAGCGGTAGACTGAGTTGAAGATCGACAGCATGGGTCTGTTGGTAATCATACCCCACGTACAGTGACCCACCACTGCTGACAAGGCCAAGGGCGATGCAAAGCCGCGTCTCAGTAGACCGAGCAAGGCTTGACGCAACCGGCAGAGCCTGTCGATCTTGCAGCGGACGACGCCGGCGTCGCCGAGGATGTCCAAGCCAGTGAAGACCACGCGCTTGGCTGCGGGGGCGAACTCGTCAACGGGCAGACCCCTGGACACGAGCACGTCACGTATGGCCTGGCAGGCCGTCGTGGCCACCTCGGGGTCAAGGGACACGGTGGCAAAGTTGTCTACGTAACCTGCGCCGATGACGTCGGAGTCCTTCCGCAGTGGAGGGATGGCGGCGCCATCCACCAGCATGGAGCTCTCGTCGATTCCCGAGTCGAGGATGGCCGTGGTCAGGGCGGACTGGCAAAAGTGGAGGGCCCATGACCAGCCCATCGGCATGACGGAGACGAACGGCTGCAGAAAGGCGTCCGTCCCGATGACCACGCCGTTGAGCCGCTTGAAGCCCAAGTACCGATTCGGGACGACGGGCAGAGAGAAATATCGATGCAGATGTGGCGGTAGCTTCATATGGTAAAATGCGCACTGAATGTCCCCCTGGGCAACGTAGAAGTCGTGGTCGGCCTCGATTGCGCTCCGTGCCGACGGAGTCGGCAATCTCGTAGAAGGAGGGGCCGAGAAGGACATGTTGGCCACCCGCGTGTCAAAGACGAGCCGCAGGTTGACGCCGTTGGACTTGTCGACGAAGAAAAAGCCAATAGAAAAGGTAGCCTGACGATCGGCGACCTCCCACTCAAGCATGCCAGCCTGGTCGAGGCGTAGCAGAACATCAGCATGCTCCCGAGGTCGAAACCGAAGGCATGGATCCACATAGGGTGACCCCAGTCCCGAGTCCTTCCTGAGAGCAGCTGCATCAGCAGGGTCACGTAGCATTTGATGCCTCCACCCTGACAGCGTAGAACGATCAGCCTCAGACACGAGGTCGGCCGTCGGGACGGGAGCCACGTGCTTCGGCCAGGAGACGAGCTCCTTGTTGTAGGGTCTTACCCGAGACTCTCCAGAGTACCCAGGCGCCGATGCGAGCAACTCTGCGAGGGCTGCCTCGCATCTCTGGGGAGATTCAGAATATCCAGGAGGTAGTTCAAAATCGCGATGCTGTCGAGCAAGAAACTCCTCAGCGCCACTACGAGCGCGTGGAGGAAGACCAGGAGGCGGGCCGATCACCTCGTTCGGGTCGCAGTGGTACATGTCGTTGAGACTGGACGCCGCGTCGTTGTACCACTCACGCCAAGCAGCTCCTCTGGCGACCCGTCTGCGGGCCGATCCACCCATGGATGAAGTGCCCGATCTTCGCTCCACAGGTAAGAGGGTGGAGGGGGAAAACGTCTCGCTGCCGAAGGGGGTGTGCAGCGAGGGGGCAATGGGCCTGTCTGGCGCCACTGTGGCGCGCCCCACAGCCAGGCCTGAAGTTCTCAGGCGTCATGGCGCCCGCAAGGCCCGCTCCTCGCGAGCCTTGCGGCGCTCCTTGCTGATGGCGGCCTCCGCCTTCATCTGGTCTGCGATGTACCCCAGCAATTTTGGTGAGATGCAAAGGTTGGCCTTTGAGACGCCTGCGCCGAGGAAGTAGCTGGTCTCAGGCGAGCTGGAGGGCCCAGCTGGGGCGCCGCCTCTGGCCGCGGCCTTGGCCTTGGGGGCTGCGCCGCTCGGAGGCGCCGATCGCGTCTCGTACGCCCGTTCCTCCAGGAGCTGGAGCTGGCGGGCGACGATCTCGAAGGGGGCCATCTCGGCGATCTGCAGCTGGTCGTACACGACGGCGAGGTCCAGGACGCGGCGTAGGGTCTCGTGGAGCTTCGCGTACTCGTCCTCGTCGGGCAACGCCATCGAGGTGAGCCACCTCTGGTGCCACGCTGTGGGCGTACCCGCCATCGTCGACATGAAGGACAGGCACCAGAGGAGGGTCCGCGGCCCTTGCACGGGCCAGCTCTGCACTGGCGTCTCCGAGAGGGCGTTGACCGTCTCACCGAACCTCCTCTCTCGCTCGCCCCTCGGGTTGAGCTGCATCGGGAGGGCCCTGAAGTCTCCAGCGGGGGCGGGCGCCACAGGGGCGGCGGCAGGGGGCGCAGCCTCCACTGCAGGCGCTGGCACCAGCGGCAAGGCCCCCACGGGCCCAGGCGGGGCTGCTCCCAGCGCGGCGGCCAGCGCAGCGACGCCAGGGGCGACGCCGAGAGGGGCCGCCGCAGCGGCGGCGGCCGCAGGGGGCATCGCCAGAGGGACCGCGGCCCCCGCAGGCGGCGCCACCCCTCCCCCGCCAGGAGGTGGCGGTAAGGCCGCAGGCGGCAGGGCGGCGGCCGCCGCGGGGTCCGCCAGCGGGAAGGGACCAAGCGGGGCGCCCGCCACGTTGCCCGCCGCGAGCGCCAGCGGCAGAGGGTCGGCTGGTCTCGGGTAACCTGCGGCCACCGAGCGAGCGACCGCCGCCCACAGCTCCGCGGCCGTCGGGAGGCGGCGGAAGCGGTGCACCGCGACCCCCGCCAGGGCTGGCGGCGTGTCGCCCTGGCCCGCAAGCTGCATGATCGCCCGCACGTCGGGGCCGACGACGATGGGCTCGTCGTAGTCGTCGAAGTCAGGAGTGAGAATGTAGGCGAAGCCCCCGTTGACGCCGAGGACGAGGCGCTCGTGCCAGAGGGGCACACCACCGACGCGGTAGCGCAGCACGTGGAAACTGCCCGCCATCACTGCAACGCTGGGGCGCGGGCTCGAGCGTCTCGGACCTGCTGAGCCGCGAGGGCGGCGATATCGATGCCGTCAACGATCTCCACCAAGGCGGGCGGCTGGTGGGCCGAATGCCCGAGAAGCCGCCGCGCCGCCCAAGCGCCTCCAACGGTACCGACGGCGAGGCCGACAGTCAGCGCGGCCACCGCGTAGGCCGAGACGAGGCCCAGGCACGAGGGCTCGACCACGTGCCCGCCCGCACCCGCGCAGACGCAGGCGGGGCAGGAGACGGTCGAAGGTGCGGGGCAGGCCAACTGTGGCGAGCAGGCCCCGCAGCTCGGCGCGGCGGCCCGCGCCACGACTGTAGCCCCCAGCGCCTGCGCCCCGTACCTCAGGACGTCCGCCGCATGGTGGGCGAGGTCTTGCATCCCTGAGCAAGACCCTGAGAGACTTGAGAATGGAAGCGCGGCCCGAAAGAGAGCCACAATTAGCCGCGGGCAGCATAATGATGATGATGATGATGATGATGATGCTGATGATGATGATGATGATGATGATGATGATGATGATGATGATGCTGATGATGATGATGACGCTGCTGCTGATGATTGTTATGTCAATGACGATAAGGGTAGTGATAATGCTTATGGCGATGGTACTGACAATGTTTGCTGCGCTGACGATGGTAGGATTATGGTGATGACGGTGATGGTGGTGATCAGTGACCATCCTGCGGAGGATCAAGAGTAGGACAGGACGAGCAACAGTGAAGACGCGGTGGAGGAAGAGAAGGAGGAGGATGAGGAGGAGGCGGAGGAGGAGAAGGAGGAGGAGGATGAGGCGGAAGGGGGGAGGAGGTGGATGAGAACAAGCAGCAACAGCAGGAGGGAGGGGGAGAAGGAAGAGGTTGATAAGGAGGAGGAGGAGGAGCAGGGGGAGGAGGAGGGGGAGGAGGAGGAGGAGGAGGAGGAGGAGGAGGAGGAGGAGGAGAAGGAGGAGGAGGAGGAGGAGGAGGAGCAGGAGGAGGAGGAGCAGGAGGAGGAGGAACAAGGCGATCACGAGGAGAAGGAGACCTCGCCGATGCTGGGGATCAGCTCGGGGATGAACGGCTTGAGCGTCGCGTCGAGCTCGATGGTGTGGGGCCTCGGGGTGAGCGGCCGAGGGCCCCTCGGGCACGCTCCCGGGGAGAGCCGGGAGTGGCTCCGGAACGCCGACGGGCGAAGAACGCCTCGGACCCTCTCAGATCCATCCTTAATCGTGGATGGACAGACGTCCCTTTAGTGAACGTGGTTTAGTGAAAACGACCTCGGGCCCAAACCTGGCGGGCGCAAGCCTGGAAAATAACGGCCGCGGCGCCCTCTCGAGAACCGAAAACGGACAATTCACTAATCGACGTGTCACTGTTAGGAGGTCTGTCCACCCCCGACTTAAGACGAAGGCAGAATCGAGACAACATCGGACCGATCTGAATCGGAACTCTTTGAGAATCGGCGGGTTTGGAGGATGCATCGGGCGTCGCGGCCGTTGCAGAGCGTTCCAGAGCTCTCGCTCTGAGAGCGTTTTCCGGAACGCTCTAGACACGAATCCCAGGCCCGATATTTCCCAAATTTTCTGGATGCTAGTCTACCCCTCAACTTCCCATATTTCTCTGTTTTCCTGGGAACCGACGGTCATCCCTCCTGACCTCTCCCATGACGTATCACTGCCAAGCAAGGTGGCGTCGCGAACCGTTTTTTTCACTGATTTTGGCCGCTGGAGGCTCGCTTCTGGCCCCGGGGCCGCCAGAAAACGGCCCGAGAATGCAAACAATAGCCCAGGAGAGGGGCCGAGAGCTCTGGGGGCCAGCGACTCGAACAAACGAGTCGTCGGAGGTATGGGCAGGGTGGTCGGTATCCATCCGCCAGCCTTGCCCCCTGGGGGAGGGCAAGGTGAACTCCACACCCGTGCAGAGTCGCGCCGCTGCCGCGCACGCGTGCTTGATTCCGCTCTCTCCTCGCGCGCCTGCATATTTTTCCTGGCAAGCCCAGAACCGTTGGATAAGTTTTATTTGCCTAGGCAGTTTTCTGCGGCGACCGAGGGGGGGAAGTGGGAAGAAAACCTTCTCAATAGGCGGCGGGGCTTCTCAGAAGCCCTCTGGCCTTCTGACAATTTTTCTGTGTCTTCGGGGAAAGCTTCGACAACTTATCAGAAGGTCGGGGGACCTCCGAACCTTCAGAGAAGGCCACCCTTTCTCACTTCCCCCTCCGGGCTCGCCGCCGAAATCCCACCAGCCCTCTGGGCGTCGGTGGTTTAGGGCGTTTCCTCTTCCACCCCTCCTTCTTCCCCTTCGGGGAGGGGTTTATCACTGTTCCCTATTAATAAACACCCCCTCCCCCAGGCGACTGGGGGCCAACCCGAGTCCATGACGACCCCCCCCCACCATCCCTTGTAAAAAAAACAATACAAAACGCACTCTGCCTCAAAATTCGGAACATGCGCAGCCAACCCGATGCGGCCCCCCCACCACCATCCCTGTCAAACAACAATTCAGAATACACTTGGCGGCGGCGGCTGCGGCGGCGGCGGCGGCGGCGGCGGCGGCGGCGGCGGCGGGGGCGGGGGCGGCGGCGGTGGCGGCTGCGGCGGCGGTGGTGGCGGCTGCGGCGGCGGCGGCGGCGGCGGCGGCGGTAGCGGTGCCGGCAGCGGCTGCGGCGGCGGTTTGGCAGCGGGGGGCGGCGGCGGCGGCGGCGGCGGCGGCGGCGGGGCGGCGGCGGCGGCGGCGGCGGCGGCGGCGGGGCGGCGGCGGCGGGCGGCGGCGGCGGCGGCGGCGGCGGCGGCGGGCGGCGCGGCGGCGGCGGCGGCGGCGGCGGCGGCGGCGGCATTGCCCCCAGTAGCTGCCCAAAGACGACGACTGCTGCATATGCAGAGGCTCGGGCCAAACTCGGGTGCTACGTATGTGTTGGGAGGGCGGGTGGGAGTGAGCGAGACGGCTTGCGGGCGGGGAGGGGTCTTGATCACTGTTCCCTATTAATAAACACCCCCTCCCCCAGGCGACTGGGGGCCAACCAGGGTCCATGCCCCCCCCACCATCCCTTATAACAAACAAAAACAAAACACACTCTGCCTCCAAATTCGGAACATGCGCAGCCAACCCGATGTGCCCCCCCCCCCCCCGCCATCCATGTCAAAAAGCAATACACAGTACACTTGGCGGCGGCGGCGGCTGCAGCGGCTGCGGCGGCGGCGGCGGCGGCTGCGGCGGGCGCGGCGGCGGCGGCGGCGGGGCGGGGGCGGCGGCGGGGGCAGGGGCGGGGGCGGCGGCGGCGGCGGCGGTGGCGGCAGTGGCAGCGGCAGCGGCTGCGGCGGCGGCGGCGGTTTGGCAGCGGGAGGCGGCGGCGGCGGCGGCGGCGGCGGCGGAGGCGGCGGCGGCGGCGGATTGGCCCCCAGTAGCTGCCCATCCCAAGACGACTGCTGAATATGCTGAGGCTCGGGCCAGATTCGGGTGCTACGTATGTGTTGGGAGGGCGGGTGGGAGTGAGCGAGACGGCTTGCGGGCTGGGAGGGTGTACCTTGACCCCTCCCCCTACCCCCTCCCCATGGACCTGGAGGGGGGGGGGCCGCGAGGTGTCAGGGCGTCCAAAACGGCCTCGGCGAGGAAGCACAAATCATTTGTTTTACTGCGGTTTTGGCCCCATTTTGGCCTCTTGGGGGGGGGACGCGGATTAGTGCTCCCCTCTTGTTTGATCGATCTCCTCCAAGATGGCCCCAAGAAGCGCCCAGGAGGCCCCTAGAGGTCCCAAGATGGCCCCAAGATGGCCCCAAGAGGCCCCCAAGAGGCCCCAATAGACCCCACTGAGGCACCCAAGATGCTCCAAGAGGCCTCGGCGAGAATGCCAAATCATGGTTTTTTACGAAGGTTTTAGCCACATGTTGGCCTCTTAGAGGAGGGCACCGATGAAGATGACTCCAAGAGCGCCTGGGAGAGCCCAAAATTACTTCCAAGATGGCTCCAGATATCCCAAGACGTCTCATAATGGCTTCCTCTGTGTGCTGCCCACTTCCCTGATCGAGGCAATTCCTCTGGGCATCGTTTCTGGATGGGCTCGTGGGGAGTCGCGAAGCGTCAACAATATGGCTTTTCTTAAAAGTTTTCTCCCCAAACCCGCCCCGTGGCCACTGCGTGCGCTGACCGGCTCTCCCAAATCCTCGAACGGCGCCTGCCCGTACCCGCTCCGTCTATTCAAGCATTGGCAAACCATCCCCTTCCGTGACGTCGCCCTCGCCTTTCAAGCTTCCCTCCGGCCGCAGACATGCGTCTTGGGGCGAGGCGAGGGGGACGTCACGGAAGGGGATGGTTTGCTAGGGGTCGTTTAGGCCGCCACTGAGGCTCTGGAGGTCTCCGCGAACAAGTGCCATGAACACCTCTGGAGGCTCCTGGAGGCCCAGGTAAAGCCTGAAGCCGCTCAGCAGCCTCCAGCCCCCGATTTCTCGCCAAAGATCCGGCGTCGTGCTTTGAAAGCGGGGTTCCTGGAACTCCTGCGCTTCGGCGACCCGCTCCCTCCTCATCCCCCTCCCCTCCTCCTCTGCCTACTCCTCCTCCTCGATGGCTTTGTCATCGTGTCGGAGATCTGGTCGGACCGGTGGTCTTCGGGCCATAAGTCGGGCCTCCGGCGGCTGCCGGGGACGGCTCAGGCACGTCTGGAGCGCTCTCGGCGAAGCGCACCTGCTGGACAGCATCGAGGCCGGAACACTTCTGGGAACCGACGAACACCTCGGTGTGTGTGTGTGTGTGTGTGTGTGTGTGTGTTTCCAGATGCTGGAGACATCCTCTCTACGACGAAGCCAGGACGAAGATGAACTCGGGTGCAGAAACATCGAGGACCTCTGAGACCCGGGGGCTCTGGAGGCTGCCTCGGGCGCCGCGGCCTCCTCGGAGCGTTCCGGCACGCTCTGGAACGGACCTGCCCGAGACCTGCCAACCCTGAGCGATCTTCGCGGGTCGACGGCGGAGGAGGAGGAGGAGGAGGAGGAGGAGGAGGAGAGGATCCTCTGGCCCTCCTGCTCTACTAGGGAGGCCATGCTGCATCGAGAGCCGCGGGCCTCCAGCCCCCCGCCCCGGCCCCCCTCCGACCCTCGATCTCTCCACGGCGAGGCCCCGCTCCGGAGCACCCTCACCCGTCGGTGCGGGGCTGCGCGGGCGGACACGGACCTGCCCCCGTTCAAGGCCCCCCTCCGACCCGCGAGCTCTCCACGGCGAGGCCCCGTTGCGGAGCACCCTCTCACCCGGCGGCGCGGGGCTCTGCGCGGGCGGAACGCGGCGCCCTCCCTCTTCGCCCGAGCGGCGGCCCTCCCGGGGGGTCGGGCGCCAGGTGCGGGGTCGGGCGTCGGGCTTCCGGGAGGAGGGAGGGCTAGGGAGTAGGATGACGATGACGATGACGATGAGGATGAGGATGACGATGCGCCCCCTTCGCCCGAGCGGCGGCCCTCCTGGGGGTCGAGCGCCAGGTGCGGGGTCGGGCGTCGGGCTTCTGGGAGGAGGGAGGGCTACTCCAGGTTTCGTAATACAAGGGAGGGGGTCTGGACCCTCCAAGACAAGCCATTTCAGACCTCCCCCGTGGGAGAACCCTCCAATACATCGTCCCCAGACCCCCCAGGCCCTCCAAGATAGCCTGGAAGAGACCCCCCCCGAAATGAGACCCCCTCCCTTTTATTACGAAATCTGGAGTAGGGAGGAGGATGACGATGACGATGACGACGACGGTGATGGTCATGATTACGATGCTCACGGTGCTGACGTCGACTATGATGACGGTGACTCCAATCGTGATGGCGGCTCTGATAACGACAACAACGGCGACGGCTATGACGACTACGATACGTTGGGGGGAGGGATGAGTAGGACGAGGATGATGACGATATCGATGACGACGACAACGAAGAGTGATACGTACAATGATGATGCTGCTGCTGCTGGTGAAGATGCTCATGGTGGCCATGATGAGGGTGATGACGCCGACACCTCGGCCGACGACGATTAAGATGACGATGGTGATAGGGTGTTGAATAAAGAAAGTCAGCATCTAGTTGTTGGTGATGAGGGTGAGGAGAAGGTTAGGGATGAGGGGGCGCAGGAGGACCACGGGAGAGTGCGGCCAACATAAGGCCGCCGCTTGTAGCGCTGGATGTATGTGAAGAGCTCCTCGACGTCGGCCGAGACCTTCATCCCTGCGCGCGGCGTGCGGGAACGACCCGAGGGCGCGAACACGCGCCCCTGGAAGCTGAGATCGGGGAAAACGCCGGGATTCCCTGTCCCGCTAGAGTAGAAGATCAACAAACGGCATAAACATAAACTATCTTTGTTCTTCGATGGAAGTTCCCCGACCCTTCCTCATGGCCAGTTTTTCATCCTGAGCCATGTCTTGATGGCCCCAGGGCCCAATGCAGGGCCCCAGAAATTGAAAACAAGTGACCAACATGTCGCTCTATTTTTTTCTATTCGTGGGTGGGTAGGTGGTGGTGGTGGGGGGTGTCAGGGTAAACACTTCGATCCTCGAGCCCAGCTCTGAAGCTTTCGGGCTGTAGCTCGAGCCTTCCGTGGGGCAGGACACGCGTGAAGGGTTTGCGGACATGGAAGGAGGAACCGCATGCGGGTGCTGCCACTGGAGCCTTCGGTGGAGCCCCTTTGGGGCCATGCAACGTGTGAGGATTGCATCGACATTGGGGTGGAACCGCATACGGGTGTTGCCACTGGGGCCTTAGGTGGAGCTCCCTATGGGGCCATGCAACGTGCAAAAGATTCGCCGAAATGGAGGGTGGAAGTGCATGCGGGCGTTGCCACTGGGGCCTTAGGTGGAGCTCCTTATGGTGTCACGAAGCGTGTGAGGGGTGCACCGAAATTGAGGGTGGAACCGCATGCGGGCGCTGTCACTTGGACCTGCGGTGGAGCTCCCTATGGGGCCACGAAGCGTGGGAAGGGTGCACCGAACTCGGGGGTGAAACCGCATGCGGGCGCTGCCACTGAGCCTTCGGTGGAGCTCCCTATTGGATGGTAGAACTGCATGCGGGCGCTGCCGCTGAGGCCTTGGGTGGAGCTCCCTATGGGGTCACGAAGCGTGTGAGGGGTGTGGCTCCCTATGGGGCCGCAAAACGTGCGAGGGGTGTGCCGACATGGGGGTGGGGAGGATGGATGAGCGGGGGGAGGAGGGGAGGAGGAGAGGAGAGGAAGAGAGGAGGAGACGCGTGGCGCTGTCTCTTCAAAACGAAGACTCAGCACCACAGGATGGTTGGGGAAAACCTTGAGGAACCGACGAGAACGCTTGAAAACCCTGACCTTCGAGAGATGGGGGTGAGGGTCCGAAGAGCTGCCAGGCCGAGGGACCCCCTCGCGTGCCAGGGGGGGATGCTCGTGCGCGCGGGCAGCGCGCGGCTGCCAGAAACGGTGCGGTCGGGCAGCCTCCCAGGCAATTGGAGGCCTCCTAGACGGGGTCGGAGCAGATGGGGTCGGAAGATCGCGCCGCATCGACAATGCATCGCCGATGCATCGTCGATGCACCGCTGACGTCGGCGAAGCATCGGCGACGTCGGCGTGGAGAAAATCGGGCTCCGCATCGAGCCTCATCGGCGATGCATCGGCGATGCGGCGCGATCCTCCGACCCCATCTCCTCGGACCCCATCTGGGAGGCCTGGAGCAATGCCGCAGTGTGATCGCCACTGAGGGTGTCGCCAGTTTGTCCTAAGGGTCGAGGTTCGGAAGGATCAGGCGCCCCAGAAGTCTCCTCCAACCTCCTCCTCCCCCCAGCGCAGCGCCCGGGGCTCCTTTGTAGTCGTCTGGGTTGTAAGCGCCTGGCGGGGCCGCGCGCTCCGGGCGGCCTGGGCGTCCCAAGACCAGTGGCGATAGTTAACGAATAGGGCCGACGAGATGACCCTGCTCACGGCCAGCACCATCTATGCCGCGGTGTTGGTCCAATGTCCCCGTCGATGTGCCTGATCTCCCGTATGGCCCGGTCGGGGGGTCACCTCCCGATGATCATTAAGCTCTGTCAGGAAAATCCACTGGTCCCCATGTGGGGCCACCAGGCTGTAGGATTAGGTTGCTGCTCCCTGCGCCAGTTGCAGTTTCAAGTCTCCAACGTTACAGTCTTGATTTCTGCTTACTATTGTAAATCGTTGAAGTCCGCGCGAGGGGGGGGGACCCCAAACCAGAAATTTGACCACGCCCAAATCGGGTTGCCTGAATTCCTGGGGCCATAAACCCTCGCAAATTACGGCATATTCGCATTGCCGAGGCCAAGGGTGCTCCAAGGCGCCCGAAGATGGTTCCAAGACGGCCCAAGAGGGCCCCAAGAGCGCTCCAAGAGGCCTCCCGAGAGAGCCCCAAGATGCCAACATCGTCGATATTACCAAAAGGTTTTTGAAGGTTGAAGTTCTTGCATTTTCGGCTTTCCGACGCTGCAAGATGGCTCCAGACGCTCACAAGACCGCCCCAAGAGAGCCCAAGACGCTTCCAAGAGGACCCCAAGACGGCCCGAGAGGGCTCCAAGATGGCCCAAGAAGCGCTCCGAGAAGCCCCGAGAAGCTCTCAGGAGGCCCCAAGAGGCCCCAAGAGGCACCCAAGATGCGCCAAAGAGGCCTCCAAGAGGCCCAAACAATACCACACGGGGCCCCAAGAGGCCCCCAAGAGGCGCCCAAACCGCCTCTAAGACGCCCCCGAGAGGCAACTCACGACACCCCAACACAGATACAAGAGGCCTCAGACCCACAACCCAGGCACAGTGGCGGGATGGACCGAAGGCCACTAGGATAACGCCACCGTCTCAAAATGCGCTGATGATTCCTATCCGCCCCCGCATGATGTTCCCAGATGCGCCAAGGCAGCGCCGAGACGCACCGGCGCGACTCTGATATACCCCATTCTGATAGAGAGCGGGCCAACGGCAGGGGGCGAAACCCTTACGGATATCATCCAGCGCTCATGTGCCATATGATCACGTAGTAGCATGCACGAGCACGGACAAGTCCATCGGAATCCGTAGGACAGCACATGGACCCCCACAGGAACAGTTCAGTTCGCAATACAACATTTTCAGGGCCAAGCCCATCCGATCAGAACGCTGAGTAAAACCTCCAACGTGGTATCTTATTCATGAAGAACGTGTATGTGGGCGTATGCGTATACGTGCGTACGGACGTATACTCTAAACTTATCATTAACCAGAGGGGGCGGTTGCCAACGTGAAAACGAGCCGCGGCCAACTCCCGTCCCCCGCAGCGCCGCCCTCGAATCCGACCCCCCCGCATCCGCTTGGACGCTCTCAGGTCCCCCCCCTGCGTGCCAACCCTGGAGGCGTTTGACATGCCCCCCCTCCCCCCCTGCATGCCAACACCCCCAGGCACACAGCGAGAAATGCCCCCCCCCCCCCCCCGCGACCCCACGCCCCCTCCCCCCTGCGCCCCTCCCCCCCCCACCACCCCCACAGACGGACGCGCCACGCCTCCCTCCCCCCCGCATTCCAGGGGGGGGGGGTATCAAAGGAATCAGGGGATGTATATACGCAAAACTGAAGCGCGTGATCGCGTACACAGCATAGGCGCACGCATCGCCTGAACCATTTCCCATAGCGAAAAAATGCCATGGCCCTCTGGACTGGTCTAGCTGGTAGTGGTGGTGGTGGTGGTGGTGGTGGTGGTGGTGGCGGTGCTGCTGTTGCTGCGGCTGCTGCTGCTGCTGCTGCTGCTGCTGCTTGTCTTGCACCTTTTTTCCGCCTCTCTCCCCTCCTCCTCCTCCTCCTCCTCCTCCTCCTCCTCCTCCTCCTCCTCCTCCTCCTCCTCCTCCTCGTCGCCCAAAGCATAACGGACTGTGTCCACTGTGCCCCTACTTTTGTCCTTCCTTCTCTTCCTCCTCCTCCTCCTCCTCTTCCTCCTCCTCCTCCTTTTACTCTTTCTCCTCACCGCCCCTCCTGTCCCTCCTCCTCCTCCTCCTCCTCCTCCTCCTCCTCCTCCTCCTCCTCCTCCTCCTCCAACATCCGCCCCCTTTTCATCCCCAATTCCTCGGGCGCGGCCTGTGGGTGCGTCTGTCTTCGTGCCGTCCCCGCCGTCCTCGCGGCACGCACGGAGAGCTTCCCGCGACCCGCGCGGAGGGCGAGGCATTGGGGCAGACCCCTGGCGACTCGAGGAGCATCGAGGATTCGAGGTCTGGACGTCTTTGGGTGCTCCGGGGCCTCCTGGGGCGCCCTCGTCGCCACGGCTGGCTTGTCGCAGCAGTTCGGGCCAGAACTGAAGGGGCCCAGGGACACACAAGCAAATAGACACAACTCCCAAGAACCCCAATTTTTTAAATATTTTCTGGGTGTTCGTCTTCCCCCCCCCCCCCACACTTCCCATATTCCGGGGGATCGACAACTGTTGGTGTGTGTGTGTGTGTGTATTTTTCCCGTCCTGAACGAAAATGAATCCAGGAGGGGGGGGGGGGGCGGGTGCGGGCGGGCACGCACCGCCGGCCGCCAAGAAACCACAGTTCGGACGCGCTTGGGGGGTGGGGTGGGGGGCGCGGAGCGTGCTGGCGTCGCGCGCAGGGGGAGATCGGGGGAGGGGGGGAAGGCTTCTTGGAAGGAGGCTGCTCCTAAGAAGCTTTCCCCCCTCCCCCTGCCCCCCCTCTGCGCGTGGCCGAGAGTGAGAGCCCGCCAAGCTCTTTCCTTTAGCAGGATTGCCGCCTCGGTCGTCTGGACTTCGCGGGCCCCTCGCAGCGGCCTGGGATGGATTGTAGGCTGCGGTGGGCCTCCCGTGGCTCAGCACCCTCGGCCAGCACGCCCGTACATGCGGGCAGGCCCAGGGCAAACGTCCCCATAACGGAAACGGGTCCTGATTTTTTTTCGCCGCTTTCGGGCTCTCGGGGCCCTCCACGGGCCCCGGGTGTGTGAGAAACCGGCCCATGATGAAAAGCTTGTCCTGGGGGAAAGCTCCCGAGTCCAGGACCCATTTGCCCGTCGGTCCCGCCGCGGCTTGTAGGAGTCTGACTCTGCTGCGGGCCGTCCGTGGACCTGATGTTGAGGGTGGTGCTCGGCAGATCTGTGTGTTGCGTCCGCGAGCCCTCGTTCGCGCTCACCCTTCCCAGCGCAAACGCAGCAGCCACCACCCTCCTCGCACCGTGCACAGCAGAGCCTGTCGTGGCCGCGCGGAGGGCAGGAGGCGAATGGGGCCGGCCGCGCGCGAGAGTGACCCCCCCCCAGGCAGGAGTGACCCTTGGGGGTGCGCGGTTGTCGGGGGCCGCAGAAGGGGGGCCACGTCCAAGCGTGCAGGCCGCTGCCGGGGGGGGCCCTTGCGGGCCCGCACCGAGATGACTCTTACGAGCAGCCAGAGGCGGCCCCGCGCGAGAGGGCACGCGCCGCCGGCCGCCGGGGTCGGCCAGGGTTCGGCCAGGGGCCGGCGGTTTGCACCAACGGGGGGGGGGCGCGGCGGGCGGCGGCCTCGCAGGCTCGCGGCGCCCCTCGAGAGGCTGGGCGGCGCGGCGCCGCCCATGTTTGGACGCCCGAAATGGGCACGGAAAGAAGGGGTACAATGCCAAACAACAAATGTTGTCCCAAGCCAACAGCGGCCGCTGTTGGGCAGGAGGTCTCCTGCCTCAAACGGACACAGGCCGCGGCGGCGCGGACAGCGAGTCCTGCTCAAGATGAACGGGAACTGCTGTTGGGCATTGTACCCATTCTTTCCGTACCCGTTTCGGGCGTCCAGACCATGGGCTGGGCGGCGCGAGCAATTTTTGTCGTCGCGGCGTGGCGGAGGCGATCCGCACGCACGCTCCAAGTGGGCCGGGCTCGGGCACGCACTGGCTGTCGGGCTGCAGGGGGAGGGGAGGGGGCCAGAGAGCGGCCGCGGAGGACAGGAAAAGGCGGGAAGACGCTCACAGCATGAAGGACTCCGGCTGGAGCGGCCGGGGCAGCGGGCGGCTCGGAGAAGTCGTGACGGCCATCCTTTTGTTGTCGTTTCCTCGGGCTGCGCTTGCACTCAGGGGTTCTTGCTGTGCTTCTCTTCGACCTGGTTCTTGGGTCTTCGCCCGCTGGGCGCCCGGGCGCCTCGTGGGCGCCCCATGCTTGGTGGCTGGTTGTTAGGTTTTGCCCGGAGGGCGCCGGGCTGCTGCGCACATGGCCTGCACAACAGAACTTACACACCATTGCCTGCACCAGCTAGCTGAAGCCATCTGGCTTGCACCACCTAGCTTTCGCCACATAGTTTGCACAGGCAGCCTTGCATCACGTAACTTGCATTCCATGGCTTGCGCCACATAGCTTGCACACGTCATACGTCACGCTTGCAGCAAGTGGCGGAGGAGGAGGAGGAGGAGGAGGAGGAGGAGGAGGAGGAGGAGGACGACGACGCCATCCCTCCCCTCAAGCTCGTACTGGCCAAATCATGTAAAGGATACTTTATGCAACCGTGGCGACGAGGATGCCCCAAGGAGGCCCCTAAAGCCCCCCTAGTAGGCTCGAGTCTCGACGGCGACGAAGGCGGGGGGCTTCCTAGAAGGCGGGGGCCTTCTCAGAAGAGACTCCTTCGCCTCCAAAATGCTTCCCAGAGGTCGGGAGGCCCCAGACCCCCTCCCCTTCCCAGTCGGCAGCACGCAAGAGTGGTCCTGAGCAAGAGTGGCGCTTGATGCGTGGCTCTATGCCTCGCTTGGGGCAGGAGGCGCACAAATCCGTTCGCGCAGGCCCGTGCTGCAGTGACCTCTGCTCTGGTGCTGCTAGGAGCGGTCCTGGTCCAAGGCGTCTCCAGCTCTGCGCGCCATACTGGAGCCCGCGGGGCCCTCTGGGCTTCGTGAGGGGTGCTCTGGAAGCCGTCTGGCCCGCTCCAGGACTCCCGGGGACAACCTGGGCCAAGTACACCTTTGGTAACACCCGACCTGTGGGCCCGCACCCAAAAAGGTGACTCCGGCGAAGGGCCACTCTGGGCGCTCCACGCGGATTTCTTGGATCCGCGCTGGGCCCCCTGGCGGCGCCTCCGGCGCCGCCCCTGGCGCGCTCCGCGCGCCAGGGAGCGCCAGGGAGGGGGGTCCAGTGCAGATCCAAGAAATCCGCGCGGAGCGGCAAAAAATTGTATGTTTACAGCGTTTTCGTTTTCTCCTCTCATATCTTGCGCGTCGCCGAGGCCGCCGCCCTCTGCGCGCGCGAGCCCCCTGGCGGGACTCCTCGGCCTCGGACTCCGAGCCGCTGTCGGACTCGCTGCCCGAGCCGCTGCTGGACTCCTCGTCCTGCCGGGCGCCACGGCCGCCTGCGCGGCGGGGTGCGGGGGAGGCCGCAGCAGCGCGGGTGGGGCCTCTCGCTCTGGCGGGCGTACCCCCCGGGAGGAGGGAGCGGCGGACGATGGGGGGAGGGGGGGGGAGGGGGAAGGGGGCTCGAAGCTCCAACGAGCTGCGTTCTTTCGTCGTGGGCTGCCTGTTTGTCTGTTTGCTTGTTAGCTTGCTCTGTTTTTGCCATTCTCGGCCTCTCAGGGCCCTTTTTCCTGTCTCCGGAGCCGCCAAGAAACAGCCTGGGGCCGCCAGGAAGCGGCTCGGGATGACGACGTCGGCACCTGGGGAAGAGGCTGGGGCTTCCAAGGGCTCGTATCGAGTAAATGCACCGCGCTACCAAAATTTTGACCCGTTTCGTGCTTCCACGAAGACACGTCTTAGGCGGGAGCGCTATTGCGAATCCGAGCTGAAGAAGTTCCAAGCTTTATTTTCGAGGAAGTCCTAGGCGGGAACGCCATTTCGAAATCGAACCAGAAGGGTGTCGAATTCCAATGTTCAAGAAATCTTGGGCGGGAGCGCCATTTCGAAATCGAAGCCGGAAGGCTCCGAATTCTGTTTCGGAGGTGGTCCTGGATGGGAGCGCCATTTTGAAACCGAACCAGAAAGGTTCCGAATTCTAGTTGGAGGACGTCTTGGGCGGGAGCGCCATCTCGAAATCGAAATCGAAATTTCTGAAATCGTTCGAAATTGTTTTTTGAGGGGTCTCAAACGCAGCCGTCATGGCCACACCGTTTGGCAGATATTTCTGACCAGAGATTCCGAAAATGCGGCTTTCGCATGAGACTTCCTCCAAACGACGATCTCGTCTGGGTTTCGAGACAATCGGGTTTGAATTCGCAAAGGCCGTTCCGCCCGAGACTTGAGCAACACAACGCTTGAACATGACATTGTACTGGTGCCCAGCGGCCTAACAGGATCCTTTGACGACTCCTCTCTTGTCGCGGGCGCAACGCCACTGACAAAGTTGTACGGGGTCCCGTCGCCAAACGGGAGGCGCCGCATTTTGGTCGAACTTTCGTGGCGGCGAAGTAAGAGCATCGTATTTGGCGATCTGCGGGGGCGGACGAGCAGCAACGGCAGGACAAGTCGCAAAACTCAGGACTCAGATGTCCGCGAAACCATCCTGCGCAAGGATCAGCGCCCGGGTGTGCACGACGCTGAGACGCGATGTAGACCAAATTGCCTACACGTGCGGGCTTGTGTGAAGGGGCCCCAGGACACACAAATAAAAAGATTCCCCATATTTTCCCATATTTTCTGGGCTTCTGTCTTCCCCCCCACTTCCCATATTTTCCCATATTTTCCGGGGAATCGACGATTAATTGTGAATGTGTGTGTTTTTTCCCCTCCTGATTGTGTGATTAAGAGCGTGGGTGCTTGCTTTCGCCGGGGGGGCCCTGGTGGGTGCAGACGCTCTCTGGGGGCTGACGCTGCTGTGGAAAGGGGGTGATCTCAGTCGCGGTTGGGTGCGACTCGGGAGAGCGGCGGCGGACTTCTCTCCTGGAGAACCGAAGGGCCCGAGACCTGCCCCTCTTTTATTTATATATATATATATATATATATATATATAAACGTCATAAGAAGTCTTTAGGCGTCGCTAGAAGCATGCTTTGCAAAGTGCTTGTGCTGCCACTATCGAAAGGCAACGTCGCCAGACGAGAGTGGCAGCATGCCAAAAAGCCTGTTTCGCACGGAGGCAAGCGCTACAACAAGCCCTTTTTGTTTCTCCGAACCGCGCTACCGCTGACGGGGTGCCTCTCACTGCCCCCCAAGGGGACGCAGATGATCTGCACGGGCGCTCCGGGGGAATTGAGAAGGCCAAAGGGGGCCAGTCAGGGAGAAGTGATCGCTCCGTGCAGTGAAGGAGGACAAGTTATCGAACAGGATTGCAATATGAGGCTTTTTCTTGGAGGAGCAGGAGATGGGAGGGGACCGCGATAATATACACAACTCGCCTCGCCAAGCGTGCTGGCAAATATCATGTTCGTCGCAAGGCCGTCCTGCGAACGTGACCGAAAGCCCAGTCCAAGAGGACGGCATCGGGCCTCGCCAAACGGCGAAGGATACGAACTCGCCCTAACACGTATCATCCCCTGGCCTGCCAAACTGCTGTTGGTCAGACCCGTATTGAACGGCCTCGACGGCCAGGCAATACATTCAGCATGGCAGGAGAAAGGAGGGAGGGGGAGCAGGAGAAGCGGAGAAGCGGGCGGACAAACGCCAAGCCCACATAACTAGGCAGGCGGTCCTGTCAACGTGGTCGAAATCACCCTGACCAGCGTCTGGGCGCCCCGGATATTCAGGCGGAGACCACAAAACAGCGCCGGGAGAGACCGCAAAGCAGCGCCGGGAGGGAGAACGGGACGGGGGAAACAGGGAGGAGGCAGAGACGCGGGAGGGGGGCAGCACGATCACGGCCAACAGGTCCCACGTGCACGCGAGAGGCTACAGAGGGACAGGCAGGGCACAGTGGTGCGAAGTGCTCTGGAAAAGCCAGAAATCACATCTAGGGTGCCCTGCTGGCACGGCGTAGCAGCGCCTGCAGTGTCCCGAAGTCCTCTAGGGGCGGCAGCACAGCCAAACCCGCGGCGTCCAAGCCAACGGGGTCGGTCAATTGCGGCCGTCAGGGAGCCAGCAAGGCATGCAGACGAACACAGTACCAACACCTGCGTGCAACAATGAAGACAGAAGGCAGGCGGAAGAAGGAGAAAAAGCGCGCGCCTAGCCTGGCTGCCAAGCAAGCCGCGGACAGTGAGGCCCTGAGAACTCGACGAACGCGGCTCTCAAAACCGCGGATGGCGTAGTCGAAGAGCCGTCAACCTGAGCGTCAGCCCGGAGTCGGAACCCGAGCAGGCGTGGGAATGCCTCCGTATGCGTGGGCGCTGGAGTCGGAGAAACCGCAAGCGTCGGAGGGAGTCGGAGCAGGCGCCGAAATCGGAGCAGGCACGGGAAGGACTGGGGAAGTGTGTGTGGGACGCTGCCGGGGTCGGAGCTGGCGCTGCTGCCATCGGAGCCGGAGGCCACGACGCGATGCTGAGGAACGGCCCGCAGCTCCGCCCGGGGGGGAGCGCAGCAGCTGCCAAGCCCAGCCTTCCGCCGATGTGGGGCCACTGTAGGCTGATGGGCGACCCCGCCGTCTGGCCGACACCGTGCATGAAGAATCGCTGTGCGGCCTGGGTTCCAAGATGGGCCGGTACACCCAGAGAGCGAGCTCACATCCCAGGGCGCACCGAGGCAGCTAAACCGGACACCTCTGGAGGAGAAGGGGCAGGTGTCGGAGGGGGAGTCGGAGCAGGAATCGGAATAGGCCTAAGGAGCGGGGATATGGTCGGAGCCGGAGCAGGCGTGGGAGTGTGGGCGCCAGTCGGGGTCGGAGCTGGCGTCGCCTCCATCACAGTCGGAGGCCGCGGCGCGATGCTGAGTACCTGCCCGCATGTCTGCCCCAGGCTGAACGACGCATATGCGTGATCCAGACTTCTGGCGATGTGGGCCCCCCTGGGGGGGTGTAGCTGGTTGTCCCAGCCGTGTGGCCTATATCGCGTTCGGGGAGCCGTGGTGCGGCCTGGAGCACGTCGAAGATGGAGGACGGGTCGGCATCGAAGAGCCCGAAAGCGTAGGCGTAGGTGTGGGAGTCCGAGACAATGGTGCGGTGGGAGAAAGAGAAAATGGCCAAATGGGGATATTGTTCACTGTACTCGCGCAGCCGTCCTGCGAATAGTAACGTCGTCGTCGCCCCGTCGTCGCCGCCTGGCGCTGCCCCCCGCCCCCATGTGGCAGCAATGTCGTAAATCCCCGTCGTCACGTATAGCCTCGTGCAACATCTGGTCCAAATATCGGTTGACAGATTGCTTCCGCGCAAGATCAGTAATGCCTGTGAGCCGACGCACATGATGAATAGTGCGGTACAAGTACGTACGTCGCCACGGCCTGCAAGCGAAGCGCCGTGTCGCTCATGGTCGTCGCAAGCATAGCGTGCTCCAGGCCATGCCCCGCGAGCGAATCCCCAAATGGGGATCGTAACCAAGAGCGCCACACAGGACACTTGATGTGATGCTCAACAGCGTCCTCCGCTGCATCGCAACATTGCAATGCACAGCCCCGCTGGGTCCGGCGAATATGCCACATTCTGCGGTCCGTCGTCCATCTGTTGAACAGTGTGTTCAGGGTGGCCGCCCAGAGTCGTGGCGGCACCAGCCTGCGTAGGCGGCCGAGCTGGGTAGCTACGCGCCTGGCTGTGCGTCCTGGATAGTCCGGTAGCCTCTAGCGCTGCAGCCGGCGCCGCAGCCGCCTCTCAAGACTGAAACCGTCTCTCGATTGTAGGCGGCCAACGAACCACCGCTGCGTGCGCTTCTTCAATAAGTCATGCTTCTGTTGTGTCAATAGGCCAATGCCGGCCTTACAGATGTCCAAGCCTCGCTGCCCGGAAACTTTCGCCTCGGACCTGTTGTGCACCCACCGTGGCCAATACCGTCGATGGAATGTGTTTCCCGATCCACAGGTGCTATCAAGATTGCATTAGGAGGCTGGCCCATATCATCCCGAAGCATACACTTCAATGTGAGCTTGGAATGCTCAAGCGTGGAACCGCTGGAGGCTCATATCGGCGTGGCAATAACGTTTTTTGGGGTAGATCCAGAAGGTCTGTCACGACTCTACCATCCAAGACTGTTTCAAGCCAGTATTACTGGCAGGGAAGCGTGTAGCATGAAGGAAGGGGAGGGCGTGAGTTGTTACAGAGGGAAAATGGGTCTGGCTCTGGCAGCGGCCCAAACGAGCATACTCTTATGAAGCACTAGCCCAAATGTGTATAACAAATACCTCGGGCTTATGTTGCAGGCTCTAGGTAGGTGCCTCTCATGGTACGCAGTGCTAGGGGGTACAAGGGTAGGAGTGCGGATGTTGCCACTCACTTCGTCAGAGCAGGCTTCATGCCATGAAGAAGGCGGGTGTGTGCACGACGGGGCTTTTCTTGATCTGACGG